TATGTATGATTACTGTGTTATGCATGGATAAGGGAGCAAGATCAATGTTTAGATTTATGTATTTATGTACAAGTCAATGTAATGATAAAGTACTATGCCATATTTCGCTATAGTTTTCCTACATTTCCTCTAAGAAATACCAGATGGAAGTGCTGATGGAAAAGATACAGAAATTAATATTGAAGTGATGAAGTTTGACCTTTTTAAGATGAAAAGCCTGCCAAACTTTCCATATTGACATGGCAACGTTTTATGAATAAATCTAATATCTTATAGATTTAACGCAGTTCAAAAGTCACCATCTGCTTCAAGAAGTGAAGATTGTTGCTATTACATAGTTTCTGGGCTCTAAGACTAAAGGCATGTAATCCATAGCTTACATAATATTAACTATCAAGAACGTGTGAAAAACCTTTATATTTTAGAAAATCAGAGACATAAAGGACATTTTGAGTTACTCTCAAGATTAGAGCTGATAATACATTATATTTATTCTTTCTTCTTACATAAACTTGAGTAGTTTCCTTATCATTCTCTGTATGCAGTTACAGGACAAATGCCATGGAATTATAGGACAACAGGAAACAACTTGTAATACCGAAAATTTATGTGGGGAAAATGGCAAAGCACTTGAAGCTGATTTTGAGCAGAGTTGCCTGAAAGGCCATTGACAAATTATATATAGGTATTATAAGAAGTTGTCATTTGTTCCTTTCTTAATTTTCATAAATTATTTACCACTAAATCTCTTCATTTGATATAGTTAAAAGCAATCCTGCTCAGAATCCTTTTTATTTCCCAGTCTTTAAGGTTTTAATGCTAGTTTCGCATTATGTAAATTTATTTTCTGCTTTTTAAAATATTTATTTATTTTAAATGTTTATTCTGAGAGAGAGTGAGAGAGTGCGAGAGAGCTGGGGGAGGGGCAGAGAGAGAAGAAAGAGAATCTCAAGCAGGCTCCATGCCTTCAACACACAGGGCTGACACAGGGCTTCATCTTAGCACTGTCTGATCATGACCTAAGCCAACATCCAGAGTCAGATGCTTAACTGACTAAGCCACCCAGGCACCCTTATTTATTTTGAGAGACTGAGAGAGCAGACAAGGGGCAGAGAGAGAGGGAGAGAGAGAGTCCCAAGCAGGCTCCATGCTATCAAAAATCATGAGTTGAATGCTTAACCAACTGAGCTACCCAGGTGTCCCTTTCTTTTTTTTCTACTTTCTTAATAAAAAGTAATTTGCACAGATATGTACTAACGCATGCACGCGCGCGCACACACACACACACACACACACACACACACACAAATATACATACACCTAACAAGAAGTCTTTATTTCATAGAAATTAGTAAGATCAAACAGGAGGTAAAAATCAGTCCATTTACAAAACTCAACAGCAGTTTTTGTTAATTTTGTTTTCTGGACCAAATATCTAACAAGATGATGTGTTAAAAATGCTTGCAGTGGTTTTATGTGATGTTTGGGTTTGAGCAAGTTCTAAGGTTCTTGCTGCCCAACTATTAGTAACTTTTCCAGCTTCTGTTCAATTAATATCAAACCCTGCATGCATTCCTTTACACTGGCCAGCTACTAAAAAGTGGCTGATCGGGATGTGCGGTTCTGGCAGTCATGCAATTATTGGTCAATATCCACTCGGCTTTGGCTACCTAACAGTTTGTTAACCAAAATAAATCACTAGATATTGGAGTATGCCTCAGATATACATGGACAATACACATCAGGATAAGTCCTTGAGGATTCTACGGTAGAATAGGCTGTGTGGGTTTAAAATATGCAGATAATAACACAGTAAATTACTCAGAGGAAAGGACACAGGATTTCTTTACAGAACAAATGCTGAATAAAGAGTCAGCTTTTGTTCAGGACAGACACAAAGGGTGCCAGAAAAATTTAAACTTCAGAAACTTTAAAAAGTATATATATAGTAAGACAATTTTTCTGAACTTCCCCAAAGGAGAATAACCCTTGTGAAAACTAAGACTCTCTCTATGTGATCCCTTTCAAAATTTGTTGAAATGAAAGACAAACCGTGCATGAGTATGAATTACAATCTATCTGTAGAGCTGTGATCTCCGGTCCATTTCATTTAAGAAGAACTTCTATCTTGATACTGAATTGACCTCAATCACTACAAGTGGCTTATTCAAGTTTGCTCTACTTCTGTCATCTATCCTACAGGTACAATGCAGATTTAGTAGGAGGAAATACATGTTTATTTGCTGTGGCTAATATCAAAATAAAAATCCAAGTCATATTTTACATGTTTACCTTTGAGCTCATTCCACTAATTTTTTAAAGTAAATTCTTATCAATCGTGCAATGGTATTTTATTGTCAAGAACCCTTAAATATAGATGATATTCCAACAACATTCATATAATTAAAAAGGAACTTAATTCACATGCTTTTTAGGGACAAATGTGTTTTGAATTTGCATAACAAGTGTCCTGTCAGAGACAATTAAAAAGAGCTGTACAAACAGACCCTTTTTTTTTAAAGGTTTATTTACTTATTTTCAGAGAGAGAGACAGACAGACAGACAGAGAAGGAAAGAGAGAGAGAATACCAAGCAGGCTCCACACTGTCAGTGCAGAGCCCAGCATGGGGCTTGAACTCACAAACCATGAGATCATGACCTGAGCAGAGATCAAAAGTAGGATGCTCAACCGACTCAGCTACCCAGGCACCCCCACAAAAGACCCTTTTAATTTTAACTTGTGCCCAATAAGGATGGAGAAATAAGAGTGGAGAGCAGAGAAGGCAAGACAGAAAGAGAAGGTGACATAAACAACTGAACAGATGGGGTAAAGCAAAAGGTAGTCATAGACCAAGATATGTACACAGAAGATCAAAAGTCTCTTTTCCCATTTTCACTGCCCTCTGGTAGGAATCTTCTCTCATGTAGGTTGTATCTCATCAGTTTAAACTTCTAAGGGACTTTATGTTCTCAATTATTCATTATTTTTCTATGTATTAAACATTCCACTCAACTAGTATGTTGAGTGGAATTAAATCCCAAATTAAACATGCTGAAATCTCTCATCCTACATTTTTTCCCTTTTGACTCCTCACCTCCCTCTAGTTACCACCTTACCTCTTTTTATACCTTCACAGTAAAAGTTCTTGAAGAATTGTCTAGAATATACTTGTTATTTATATTATATACTCTTAAATAATTTATATAATATATAATACACAATATACAATATAGTCCTAGGGTCAGCCCTTAATGTAATCTATTGTCTGGTAGGATACTGCGCTTAAGACAAAGCAGATTTGCATTTTCGTGTCAGTGGAGACATCTCTTTTTCACTTCCTAAATTTTGGATAAAAATAACTGAAGGACTTGGAAAGTCCTTGGTTTTTAGTTTCACTAGGAGTATCAATATATATATAATTTTTTTTAACAGTTTATTTATTTTTGAGAAAGGGAGAGACAGAGCATGAACAGGGGAGGGTCAGAGAGAGGGAGACACAGAATCTGAAACAGGCTCCAGGCTCTGAGCTGGCAGCACAGAGCCCGACGCGGGGCTCGAACTCACGGACCGTGAGATCATGACCTGAGCCGAAGTCGGCCGCTTAACCAACTGAGCCACCCAGGCGCCCCATCAATATTTTTTTAAAGGATGGTTTCACCTTCAGGCTACCTAAGGCTCTGAGTGGTTTGAGGACTGCCTAGTTAAGTATTCATTACTTAAAGGCAAGAAATAAAATCATCCCTTTAAGTAAGTTTGATCAAAACAGAAATTACTTCATATGTGATCAAATGTGCCATTGTTTGTGTGAAATGATTACACTGTATAAAATGAGGGTGTTATCAGTCAAAATGCCTTTTAAATTGGTTTTTAAGTTATTCACTTCCTCATCTGGCTCTTTTTTTGTATGAGCAACTGCAACTTTTGTAAGAGAGATGGTTAAGTCCATTGCTCTGAAAATTTGCTTTGTCTACACACAACTCTCTTTTCCCAAAGGGTCTTCCTAATCTGTGAATAATAATTTCATTACCTTAGGGTAATTTTATTGCCTTCTTGTCATAACCAATTGATCTGCCCAGCCCCAGACACTCTCCTTTCTTCATTCAAACATTTACTGAGCATCTTTCTGTCAGATGTCCTGCAAACTGCATTAAAAATGAGTAAGATGCTGTCCCTGCCTGTAAGGAGTTTCCATTTTCAGATTGGTGTCAATTTCCTTGATTTTATTTTCAGACTGATACAGACTCTGGGAAAGCTTATTTGATTTATATAACCTTCACAGGTTAGCCAAGATTCCAGCTAATCAGACTAACGTATCCAATTGTCATCTAACATACAAACTCAGGCACAAAATGTTATTTTTAACTGACACAGAGTAACTTTAGAGACCATTATCACTAGATTGCTATACTGATAAAGAATTTTAAATTCTTGGCTGCTACATTTAAATTTTGTTCAGTAATACCCTTGGGATGTGACCATCATATTTAGTCATCTCTCTCTTCTTAGATGTCCTAATTCTGAAGTATGAATTAATTCCAAGACTTCCTTCCAAAAGTTTATATGCCCCAGAAAGCATTTCCATCTAATATTCATTTTTTTTTCCTACTGGATTTTCTTTTTTCTGTGCAGAGTCAATGGCCACCTGCCCCAACTCCCCAGTTCTGAACGGCTATTTTCATTCAATAGATATTTTCTTGAACAACTACCGGATCTTAATTTCAAGTGGACCACAGGATTCTTTAACCTATTTATTTGCTCCATGGTATTTTTCAAAGAAATTCATTCTGTATGTAATTGGATTGCCACTGGATGGTATCACATTATACCTTAGTTTAATTTATACTTTATCCATCAAACTGAAAACACTGATTAGTGAGACTACTTTCAGATGGACCTTTTTGTCCTTCTTTTCATATCTGGGTGGCTATTATACATATAAATAACATTGAAAAAATAAGTTTCAACAGTATAATTCAAAGAACTACTGTGGAAGACTTACCGTATTGTGATAGGGATGAATGCATTTGTGTTAATGCTATAATTAGCAGAAAGAGTCAAGATATTGTGAGAACTTCCACATCCATATTTAACTGTGGGCCTTCCATCCATGAGAAATAAATGAAGAAACTGTTGTCCGGTATTTTTCTCACTACCTTTAAAAAAACAAATATTCCATGAAATTAGTGATTTTATTTATGTTTTATTCAATTACAATCATTCTTTCAAAACACACAATCTTTTGTCCCCTAGGACTAATGACTTAGTGAGATGGCTAGGAGTATTATTAGATAACTATTCAATGTAGTAATACTATATCAGAAATATACATTATTTTTCACAGGCTGAGACTAGCATGGCATTAACATCATTTAACTTCACATGAAATTAACTTCTGTTAACTTCTGCCTCTGTTTCTTAATAGCAAGATGATCTTATCCTGAGCCTCAGTTTCCTTATATACTATAATGGGATGAAGAGAGCAAGTAATTATTAGAATTACTGTGATAATTAAAAAAAATAATAATAAAAGTCTCTGGCACCTGTTGAGTATTACAGAACTTGGTTTATTATTATCATTAATTATTTGTATTATAATTTTTGTCTTTCATAAAAAATAAAAAAAATCAATAAAAAAAGAAATATTTTCCCTTTCTCCAGCTCATTCTTTCATCCCACTTTGAGGTATTCTTTTCTATCATGTGTGTGTGTATATATATACATATATATATACACACACAGACACCCAAATATTTATATAGCCTTAATTTTTTAAAATAAAATAATGGGGATGCCTGGGTGGCTCAGGTCATGATCTCACAGTTTGTGGGTTCAAGCCCCACAGCCGACTTTGGGCTGACAGCATGGAGCCTGCTTTGGATTCTCTGTCTCCCTGTCTCTCTGCTCCTCTCCCACCCTTTCTTTCACTCTCTCTCAAAAATAAATGAACATTAAAAAGTTTTTAAAAAAAATAATGCAATAAGTAGCCTTATTCATCTTTCTCTCTTCACTTAATAATAAACTTTAGACATATATGTAAGTACATAGATTTTTTTAACAATCTTTTTTTTAATGTTTACTTATTTAGAGAGAGAGTGTGTGCACCCACAAGTCAGGGAGGGTCAGAAGAGAATCCCAGGGAGGCCCCTTGCTCGGCTTGGAGCTCCATCAGCTTGGAGCTCCATGTGGGGCTTGATCCCACAGCTGTGAGATCATGATGTGAACTGGTATCAGTAGTCTGATGTTTAACCAACTGAGCCACCCAGGTGCCCCATATGGTCTTAATTTTGGCGCAGGTCTATTTATTGTTTCCTTTATGGTTGTAATTAGTGCTTTTTATGTCACCTTTAAGATATCTTTGCTTCAAAATTATAAGGTTATTTTCTTAGCTTATCTTTTGTAAGCTTTTTAAAGATCTATATTTTATGTAGAATCGATTTCTGTACATGATGTGAAGCAGTGGTTGTGATAGGTTGGATAATGGCCACCAAAGATATCCATGTCCGAATTGCTGGAACCTGTGAATGTTAATCTTATATGGTAAAAGAGACTTTGCAGGTGTAACTAAATGAAAGTCTCTGAGATGAGATTATTGTGGATTATCTGGTTGTGTTAAAATTTAGTCACATGTGTCCTTCTAAAAGGGAAGCTGAGGGAGATTTGACAATGGAAGAGGATAGGCTATGTGACTACAGAGGTGGAGACTGGCATGATGCAGCCACAAGCCAAGGAAGGCAAGTGGCCACCAGAAGCTGGAGAGGCAAGGAACAGGTTCTCATCTAAAGCCTCCAGAAAGAGCCAAAGCTGCAACATCATTTGAGGCTTCGAAGACACATTTTGGACTTATGGCTTCCAGAACTGTAAAAAAATAACTTTCTCTTGTTTTAAGACACTAAATTTATAGTAATTTGCTACAGCAGCCATAGGAAACTACAGGGGTCAATTTTCATTTCTTTCTCTTTTGGTTTCCAATTGATCCAAAATCAAAGCAATTAATTCTTACTGTGTATTTATTATGTATTTACTGAATTCTCAGACATTTGTGAAATATATATTTTTAATATTTTTGAGTATCTTTATTTCCTTTTTTTCTTTTATTATTGTGAATATACGTATTTAAGATAATGACTTTAAGAAAAATACCAACATTAGCATACTAAACCAACCTGAAATTACAACCCTCAAAAGTGGCCAGCTTTAATACAGATAAATGGATAGATATGTAGAGAGAGAATTTTTCATTAGAGCAAAATGATATTGTACATGTATTTTAAAATAAAAGTTGTTACAATCAGTTTTCAAACTTTTAGGTCTAAGGACTCTTTAATAAATTTAAAATCAATTGAGGAATCCCAAAGAGCTTTTGTTTACATTATTTGCATCTTTTAATATTTATTGGATTAGAATTTAAAACTGAAAAAAAAAAGAATTTAAAGCTGAGAAATTTTTCAAATATTTATTGAGTAGCTTATTTAAAAATAACAATAATAAAATCCATTACGCATTAACCTAAATAACATATTTTGTGAAAAGTAATTATATCTTACAAAACAAAAATAGTGAGAGGAGTATTCTTTACTTTTACAATAATTTTCAATGTTAAGTTTAACAAAAGCTGTTGGATTTTCATACCTACTTCTGTATTCAATCTATTGTGAATTGTTGCTTTGGTGGAAGTACATGAACTCCAGCTTCACAGAGAATGTAACTGGAAAATTAGCATTATTTAAACTGTCTTTTTAAACATATACAAATTGGATAAGAGGTAGTTCCTTAAAGTATAGTTGCAATGTGGAATCTGGAACTATACTAATAATCTTTACATCCTCTGTTACATTAAAATTCCATTGGTATTTCTTGCATTTTAAATGGATATTTTACCTTTGAAGGATTCTGTAACATCATTTATTGGTTATTTGAAAAATACTGATTCACTGAGTAATGGGTATCTTTCAAAGATTGACATATTTTATTATATCATATTAAAAAATCACATTAGTTATTATTACTACTGAACTCATCAAAAACCATGGTGGAGCTCTGAAGCTCATTGTGAAGAATATACATTTTCCAAAATTCTAATTTTTACTAGAAATCTTGAGGTTTTTTATTGGGAAACAAATACTGTCAGCTGCTTTCCTCAAAATGGCAGGCTTACTTTGTTAATTTTTGAGAAAAATGGCTGCAAAATATTCAGATTTGAAGAGCCACAGATTATCTTTTAGTTATTTTTCAAGTCATGTTTTCATAATGGCTACTTCAACTAGCAACTTAAAAAAATTGCACAAGTGTTATTCCTCAAGACAGTGATTATATATTGGTATGCACCAGACTTGCTTTGATGTATACTTTTGCTTTTATGCACAGCACATTAAAAAGCTGCATACACAAGGATTGAGAATTTTAAAAAATGAATGCATTTTCTGCACCATTAGGGCATTTTTATGTTGACTTTTACTTTGAGTGCATAGTGGAATAGAATAAAATGAGTACAATTTGGGTGTACAAATATACTCCGCCATGACACTAGGTGCCAGATACTGTATCTACTGTGACTTTTGTACCCTGAGTGCAAATGTCCATCAACACAGTGAAAAAGGCAAATATCTTGGTTTTATTAAAAAATAATTTTGAAAAAAATAATTTTGATGTTATGGACATCTGAAAGGACCCTGGATATGCTCAAGGATCTAGATAAACTTGAAATATCTCTGTGTCAGAGCTCACATCAATTTGAAAGAGAAAAAAAAAAAAAGAAACCAAAGTGAAATGTAAAGTATCACTGAACCCCAGACAAATGTTTCTTTAACATCTCATTAAGAATGCCAGGAAACTTAAGTTATCTCTCCCCCCATGTTTCAGGCTCTGTAAGAATAAACACAAGCAACGCTTGGATTTCAAAGAATGGTTCAGAGAAAGGTATCAGGAGAAATTGTGAAAGAATCTGAAATAGGAAAAAAAAATCTAGCTTACCCATTCAGGTGCTCCTCACCTGTCTTTATCTTTCAGATATTTTACAACTGTAAGTTGATGAAAACTAATAATAATTTGAGTTATTCTTGTCTATAGCAATTCAAACTGATTGTGCCTGGTGAAGTGCAACTGATTGTTACTCCATAGTTAGACTTGCTTTGTAAAGTCTCTATTTGAAAATTCGCTTCAAAATTCCTTAATCTCATATATATATATATATATATATATATATATATATTCCTTGACTCCTCCTCTGAACTAGTCATAGTATCTTACCAGTTCCCTCATTAAGAGGTTAAATAAAATTTTTGATGTGTGCTCATTTTATATATCTTTTTGAAAATTGGCCTTTTAACAAAGAAAATAAGCTAATTTCAGTTTTAGAAATTTTGAGGTATATTAGGAGAAATGAGTCACATTATATGATAGCAAAGAAAACCAAAACCAACTCCAAGGAGAAAAATTCACATAGAATACAATGCAAAGGGGGTCCCCTGGTGTTAAGCAACATAGCAGTCTTGGACTGGATAGAGATGCCCACCCTTATGAATGACTGAGATCGGGTAGGAAGACAGAAAAGAAGGATTCAAAATACAGTTGAAAGTCAGAAAATTTGGGGACATACAAAATCTAAGAAACAGCTTTCCCATGAGTACTTTGTGCTGTAGTGCTTATTAAGAATATAAATTCGGTAAGAGAAACACAAAGTGAAATATAGTAAAAAATAATTTAGATTAAATCGATATTGCGGAAGAAAACAAATTGGACAGAATAACAGCATTAAAGATTTAATAACGAAGTATGAGTAGCAAAGGGCATAATGAATATGGCTGAAAATCACTCTTGAGATCCTCATAAACGCCCTTTCTTAGAGCCCACTCAACCCATCTAGGTTTTTATCACACTTCTGAAGACTGCAGCTGTACAATACCCCAAATTAGTCCAGTTCCTGGCAGAGAGCGATGCAGCTTTACCTTTTCTGCCTCCCCTCAGATCCATTAGCAGTCTTCTGGGCTTCTGTTCTTCAGAGTTTTCCCTTATTTTCCCCATGACTTCCTATTCAGTTTCTTAGGCTGCTTTTCTCTGAATTTGATGGTATAATTAAAGATTTAGGATTATTTATGACTCCTCTTTTTACTGAGGGGAGGAAGCTGGGGGCAATGACAGCACCTTTAGAAATGCA